ACAGCACAAAAATCCTCAACTTTCATTAGTGGAAGTCTGAGAGAGATTAATTATAAATGGTAAGTTTACATGTTTTACTTGAATGCTTATAGACGAACACAAAATGAAAGTGCTAAAACATCTCAGCGATGGGCTCTGAAGAATAGAAGTACAAAAGTGGAGCTTTTTAATGTTTATAATTTGCATATGTATTATAGTGATCATACAATTAGAAAGTAAAAGGGATTTCCTTAAGCTTTAAAATAAAAAGCCTATCACATGAAGGTAAGTTAAGCTTCTGTATTCAACTTTACTCTCCTGAAATTCCACTAGAATAACAGAGAAGGGGCATGGAAATATGCCAGAAAGAAGAGAGAAAAGGGCAGTGAAACAAACTAAGAAAGAAAAGATAAGAATTCCAGAAAACAAATAATATTTCTGGAAAGAAGAGGAAAAGCAGAAAGAAAAATCACAAAGGAAATAATCCAAGAAATTTTCCTCAGACTGAAGACCATGCGTATTAGATTGAAAGGGTCAAAGCCCAGCAACAAAAGACACATTAAACCCAAACCAGGGTATATGGAAATGAAACACAGGGACAACAGGGAAAATGAGAAGATCGTACAAGCTTCTAGGAAGATAAAAGAAACTGTGTAAAATGGGATCAGGAGTCAGGATGGCTCCTATTCCTCTCAATGGTAACACAAGATGTTAAAGGGAACAAAACAATGTCTGTGAAATTCCAAAGGACACTGGATATGAGATCTAGTCAATTTATTAACTGAGAGGGTAACATAAGCATCTTACAACACAAGAAAGATACATATGTTCATACATTTGTTTAATACATCTTTCTCAGGAATCTACTAAAGAATATATTTCTACAAAACAAGAGAACCCAATAATAGAAGCATGGAAATGGAAACTTACACATTAATATGTGTGTGTGCCAGTGTGTATTTAAGCGACAAAAAGCCTCTTCAGGATTATGGAGAAGAGATATCCCAAGACAATAGTTATACAGAAGGTCTGGTCAGCAATCACTCCAAAATGGATGTAGCTAACATACTGGCGAGGAGAAGCTGGCTGTGGATCCCCACAGTGAGAAGAGATTTGGACAAGGGGGAGTTTGGGAATGTGTGAGTGATATACGGGGAGAACATGCAGCAAAGAGGAAATAGACAGTTACAAATGGTAGCACATGCTAGGAAACGCAAAACTAGAGAGCCAGGACAGTCAGAATACTTCATGGCTGTTTGAATAGCAGTCTTAATGTAAAAGGAATGTATGTTAGGGTAGCCAAAATGTCGAGACAGTTCTCCTGGGAGAATGATGGCTAAGGACTGCTAGAGGTGTGGACGGATGTAAAAGAAAGCTAAATCCTTCTATCTCGTTATGAATGGATAAAATCTAAATTTTGTAAAACATAAATATATTATTTAGATATATAAGTAAATACTCAAGGAAATCGTTAAAAGAATTGCTTGTAGAGAGTAGCAAATGGATGGTAGCCAAAAAGAGCCATTTTTCTTTAACAAGCCTTATAGAACTACTGATTCTTTTGACTGTGGGTATATATAGCTTACGAGGGAGGGGAGAACTGATTGTGAAAGAGAAAGTAAATCTGAGGGGAAAATGAATTTACTGTTCCAGCCTACTTCTATATGTCAGTCTCCAGGCGGACAGAAGACTGGGCAAGCTGAGTTTAAGAGCTAGTTTGTGAGATACAATCCTCTTCTGATTCTTCCAGGTGGAAGAAAT